ATCTTGGTCACAGAAGAATTTCAAAATTTTCCAGACAAGCATACCTCTGAACCACCAGGGGAAAGAGGAGGGGGTGGGGGCAAGGATCTTTGAACAGGGCTTGCACTGAGATGCTGTACATGACCTTAGTGAAACCCCCGAGTAAAACACACTTTGACCAGAAAGATTGTCCACAGGTTAATGAACATGGCACTCACTTGACATCTTTGCTCACCACAGATCTCAGCACAGCAGATTAACAAGCTTGAAGAATTGTGGAAGGTGTGTACTCTACATATTTCAAGTGATTTTTGAATTTGCACTGTTCCAATGTGTTTGAATCATTACCACCTTTTTGATGAGTGTAGCAGAGGATTGATTTTTGTGCTTTAGGGATTGGGCTCTGTTTTGAGGGGTTTTAAATGTGGGTCATGGTTGTTTTTGTAGGATAATCCCGAAGCCAAGTTAGAAGATTTGGATAAACCAGGAGTTGACGATGAACCACAACAAGTTCTTCTCAGGTTTGTAGCTCTGTAATTATAAAGCACAAAAAAAATTATGATTTCTTCTTTATCCACTTCTGGTTCTTTAACCCATCTTTTCCGTTATCGATTAAGATGTTCACCATTCCAATTTTGTGTTTTGTTCAGGTATGAGGATGCTTACCAGTATCAAAACATCTTTGGCCCACTGGTTAAACTGGAAGCAGATTATGACAAGAAGCTGAAAGAGTCTCAGGTATGGTTAACCTGACCCTTTCCACCCTAACATCTGTAAATAATAATAATAATAACTTTTACTTCTATAGCGCTCTTATCCTATGTTCAAGGCGCTTTACAACACTGTATGGGGGACTTTACCAGACTGCCAGTGGCAGTTTACAATCAACAAAGGTGAATTTTTAACAGATGCCCCCTCCCCCCAATTCCCAGTAAACAGGCCAGACCACATCACAGTAACCTCGTGATGTGGGTTCTTTAACGTTCCCTGGCTAACCAAATTATCTAATTAATAGATGCAGGAGACTGGACCTACAGTTTATTCATCCTTATCCAAGAAGACTAGAATGTCTATCCATTTCTTGATATTATAGAAAGGCATCACATCCTCCTCAGTTATTTTAAGACCCTGAGTGTTGGTCCGGCTGGGGCTCAAACCCTCGACCTCCTGCACAACACTCCAAGGCTCTAACCAATTGAGCTAACCGGGAGGCAGTTAAATTCTCAAGGTGCAAGTAATGAGAATTTGCCTAACAATCAAGAGCTTCTTTAGTTGGTGATCATTTGCTTTATTCATGTGACCTTAATGTGTGATTCAGGGGTGAGACATATTAGATGCTAGTCACTCTTTGGGGCCAAAAGGTTCCCAGCAGACTTACTCATTCTGAAATATTAATTAATACTCTGAATTCAGATTCATCCATCTGTCAGTGCTTAACTGCAACATGTTTCTCCCACAGCCTAATTTCTTGTAAATCCTTCCTTTTTTTTTTTTGCAGACTCAAGATAACATTGTTGTTCGCTGGGATATTGGTCTCAACAAGAAAAGGATTGCATACTTCTCCTTTCCCAAGACAAATGACGATATGAGACTGATGCCTGGAGATGAACTCCGCCTGCGATATGTTGGGGAATTACACAAACCTTGGCAGGGTGTTGGTCATGTGATCAAGGTGCCAAACAGTATCCTTACTTGAAATCACAATCACGAAGTTATTGATGATGTAAAGCAGTCATTGGCAATGAAGGACCTGTTTACTAAATATTTGTTTTGCCAGCTGATAGTATTGTGATTTCCTTGACAGTGTTCTTTAGACTTTGGTGAAGAGGTGGGGATTGAGTTGCGCAGCAATCTGGGTGCACCAGTGGAATGTACTCATAACTTTGTTGTGGACTTTGTGTGGAAATCAACTTCTTTTGACAGGTGAAAATTTAGAGGCATTTTTAACCCTGAGAAATTGTAGCTGTAACAGTTGTGTTTGGAATTTTGGTTTGGCTTTAAGTGTTTCAAAGCAGTTTTACTTTAATTTGTTCTCTTTTTTTTCTGATAATTATCATGACTATAAATCTGAGGTAAGGGAAAATCGAAGTTTAATTGGTTTGGAAAAAGTTAAAAACCAAGGACAAATTTAATTTGGAATGTAACCATTTTTTTGCAAGATTTGTTTATATTACTTTTTGGGTATGTTTTGGGCTGAGTACCCCTGAGCTATGCCGAGCTGTACTGTAGAGTGGTTTTTGTGGTTAATCATTGTTTTTCAGGAACATCATTGGCCCGGAGTTTTGTCGGCCACTAGTTCTGAACCCCTTGCTCCTTCAATTTGAAAAGGCAGTAAAAACATTTACCTTGATCTGAATTACATTCTTTTTTATGTCTGGATACTAAAACTCCCTAGGAAACACTGGGACAATGTGTAAAATTAAAAGTTGTGACATTTTTTAGGGAAAAAATTAATGTTCATGTGGCTTCACTTTTCTCTTATTATTATTATATATTTTTTTTACTTTATGAGCAGAATGCAGACAGGAATGAAGACCTTTGCTGTGGATGAGACATCTGTCAGTGGCTACATCTATCATAAGCTGCTGGGACATGAGGTTGAGGAACAGGTTGTCAAATGTACACTGCCTAAGAGGTTTGTTCTAGGGAATGTTGTGTAAATGGTTGTTAGAGTGTCAGTGTTTGTTTAGGAAATGTCTGAAATTCTCTCGTATGACTGGGAGGGCTTATTGTTTTAAGAAGTTCTCAAGGAAGGGGGACTTATCAGAGAGGCAAGGGAGCTTTTGGATCAAACCATTGATTTCTTTTGTTAGAAGTCTACAGTATTTGAAACAGAAACTAATAAAGGCTCTGGAATTCAAATATTCATGTTACTGAAACACTACCTAAAAAGAGCTCAAATGAACAACAAAGCTTTAAAATTTGTTGAGAGAAAGGAGGCAGGAGCAAGGAAAGGACATTTTAGAGGAATTGTAGCACTGTCCTCACAGAAATTCTTTGATTTCCCCCTCAGGGTTCATGATATTGCTAGTGATATTGCATTACTTTCTAAAAGTATCAATCAATCTTTGTAGGTTTTCAGCCCAAGGTCTGCCAGAGCTGAACCATTCACAGGTGTATGCTGTTAAGACTGTCCTGCAAAGACCACTTAGTCTTATGCAGGTTAGTGAAGTATCTAGTCTCTTTTTGTTGCGTAAATAACTTATAAATCGTGATGATCACAAAATTAAATTTTGGGTTTGTTCACACAGGGACCTCCAGGTACTGGTAAAACAGTCACATCAGCCAGTGTTGTCTATCACCTAGCCAAGCAAAACAATGGGTGAGTTACAGGAAAAAAAAAAATTTTTCTCTGATTATTTCAGCTTAGTTTCCCTCTCTTTCTCTCTTTTCTAATTATTTTAATTTTTTTTTCTTTTTTTTAGCCACTATTTCTACTTTGGGTCACCAAAAGGTGACTTCAGTAAGGTTAAGGTGTAGGGCACTACTGTATTGTTAATAATCATCTTTCTCAAAGGAATAGCTTTATTATAACACCTGATTTTTTGCGGTTCTAGTCAAGTTCTTGTCTGTGCTCCAAGTAACATTGCAGTGGACCAATTGACAGAGAAGATCCATAAGACAGGACTCAAGGTACAATGTGCTCATTACAGAAAATGAGTTTGTAAAATTACTGTACATATGGAATACCCATCCATAGAGTAGGAAAAAGCCAGTGATAGTTTGAGCTTTGAAAATATTATCAAGCCTTGCTTTTCTAAGAAGAATCCAATGTATTAGTTACCTGTGGACCCCAACCCCCCTTATCAAGATTGCAGCTTTTTGCAGTATGTACAATTCTTCCAAAAATCTTATTTTATGTGTGCATTCCTAGGTTATAAAGAATGACAAGTTCACATTCTTTTGAATCCGTTGACCTGATTTTATTTTCACTTATGTTGCTTCGTGATTTAAATAGTGGTGATACCCATGTTCACTGTATACACTTGTAACCTAAGAATAAACCTCTCCAGTTTCCAGTTTTAGGAAAGATTGATAATAAACAGTCAATTTTGTCGTTAGGTTGTCAGACTGTGTGCCAAGAGTAGAGAGGCTATTGACTCTCCTGTGGCATTCCTTGCACTGCACAATCAAGTGCGCAACATGGACAGTGTTCCTGAACTCCAAAAGCTGCAGCAGCTCAAAGATGAGCAGGGCGAACTGTCTGCCGCTGATGAGAAGAGGTACCGTTCTCTGAAGAGAAACTGCGAACGTGAGCTTCTCCAGGTAAAGTCTATGTACAGTACAACTCAACACCGTGCATTACTCCGTTGTTACAGCTGCTATATACATTTTCAAACAGTGGCAACCTATGATAATCAACTGAAAGTTGATGAGGTACATGAACAAGATTTTGCAGCTGTGGCTTTTTTGAGCATTAATCCTTCATAGGGGAATGAAGCTACCTTCTGAGACAATTATTCACATTCTGGATGTACTAGTAAAAATCACCAATTTGGAAAGCCTTCAATAGGATAATTATGTACTTGCACAAGTACATACATTTCGTTGGTAGACCTGCAATATAAATCTAGTGGGTTTCATAAATTCTGTTTGGTGTATTTGAGTAATCAAACATAACATTACAGCCACCATGGTAGTTGAAAGTAACTCAACTTGAACAGCTATAGTTTTGGGTAAACAGACATGTATTGAAGCTGAATTTTTTAACTGAAATTGACACTCTTAAGATGTTCCTTACTGTTTGTACTCTTATGTAAAATCTTTTCAATGTTAAAAGTTGTCTAGAAATTAACACCTCTCCAAGCTGCCCTTTGGTTATAAGCGTTGATTCTATGTCGATAATTTTATGTTATGAAGCTGAGATCCCCTTGCTTTTCACTCAAGTGGAATTTTCTTTCTTTTCCAGCATGCAGATGTAATTTGTACCACTTGTGTTGGTGCTGGTGATCCTCGTCTGTCCAAGTTTAGATTCCGAACTGTGCTGATCGACGAGTCAACCCAAGCTACTGAACCTGAGTGTATGGTGCCAGTTGTACTTGGCTGCAAACAGGTCTGTCACGGGCTCATATCATAATAATTATGGTTGGATCAAAAACGTTTCTATGAGTAAGCCACTTTTAAATGCCAGTGCCCATAAAGTTTCTGAAAGAACACTGCAGATTGAACAAAAATTCAAGTTGTTTTGTGGGTCCTGTGAATGGGGATGAAATGTTTTTGGCAGTTTTCTTAACATTAATGTTTTTTATTATTATTATTTAGCTGATCCTTGTTGGTGATCACTGTCAGCTTGGTCCTGTTGTGATGTGCAAGAAAGCAGCTAAGTAAGTGTTTGAAAATCTTGAAATTACAACTTTTTTTGCATTCACATGTTGAAGTGGCTGAAGTATGGAACACGAACTGTTTTCATGTGCACTCCGAGATACAAAACTCAAATGATTATGTAATGTCATCATAGCAATTTTTTGGGCATAAAAGCAGCTTTGAAACATCTCCTACAATCTGATGATTCTTGTCATGGGATAAACACATCAGTGCAGTGACCAGTAAACTGTTGGCAGTATGGTGTTAAATGACTGGTTTCTTTTCATCTTTTATAGTGCTGGTCTGTCTCAGTCTTTGTTTGAACGTCTGGTGGTTCTTGGGATCCGTCCTATTCGACTACAAGTCCAGTATCGTATGCACCCTTCCCTGAGCGAGTTCCCATCCAATCTATTCTATGACGGAACTCTTCAGAATGGAGTCACTGTTGGTAAGTTCAACCATCTACCTATTTTCCAAACTGTTCTTTATGCCTCTCCTAGGCTATAGACCTGGCAAGGAGACTTTGTCTTTAGTTGGTAATCATTAATTTTCTTTCATTCCTATAAGGACCATAATTAATGATTCAAGGGTGCTCATAATTATAAGTAGAAAGATGAAGCTAGTCACTCATAGAGGCAAGGGTTAACGCAACCACAAAATCTTTGGGGAAAAGTTTGGACTGGATAAGAGCCGTTAGATGTGAGCATTAGTTTCAGGCAGTGTTTGTCAATTAAAATGATTGAGCTACATGGCTGATATTTTTGAAAACATTTATGCAGTAATGTGCTCATCTTACACTGTGTTAATTCAGGTAAAATTATCCAGCCTATTCATTTGGCATTCCTGCAAAAAGTCTGCAAATCCTAACTAACTAAAATATTTTCCGTCGCGTAAAGTTAACTCTCAAGGTAATTTTCTCTCAGCTGAACGCCAGCAGACTGGTATTGACTTCCCCTGGCCTGTTCCTGATAAGCCAATGTTCTTTTATGCCACCATGGGTCAGGAGGAAATCGCTTCCTCTGGAACATCTTACCTCAACAGGTGGGTTCTTCAGTGAACGTTTTATTACAACGCACTCGCATTGAAACAAATTCCATTGTGATAATCTTGAAGGTTAGAACGTGGAAGAGTTTATGGGTACAGGAAAAGTTCTCTTGTCGCAAGCTAGGTTTGCTGCCAGTTGAGCTTCACCTAAGCTGGAGAATTTTTTTCGAACAGCATATTGGAAACCATGAGGGAAAATAGCTGAGACAGTCGAATGAAACTGATATCACTGAAAACACCAAACCTGTATCCGAAAGGATTCTTTGTACACCGGTCTGATTCCGTTATTGGACAGCTTATTACACACAAAAGAGAAGATACATGAACGCTGTTTTGCTTTCAGTTTAAATTGGAATACTACATATCCATGTATATCTTTCTTGTACAGGACTGAAGCTGCAAATGTCGAGAAGATTGCCACTCGATTCCTCCGTGCTGGAGTGAAACCAGAACAGATTGGAGTGATAACTCCGTATGAGGGTCAAAGAGCTTATATTGTACAGTACATGCAGTTCAGTGGCTCTCTTCATGCTAATCTTTACCTGGTAGGTAGTACTCTAAAAGTTGAGTTTTAGTTCACTCTACTGAGTTATACGCCTTGTTTTAGGGTGAATTGGGAGGGATTTTTTGATTGCGTTTGTTTTTGCTTGAATTATTTGTTTCATTTTGTTTTACCGAAACCTACATCTTCTCATTGGAGCACAAAAATCATGTTGATTAAACGAAAATATTCCACAGCAAATGCAAACGACTCTTGTAGACTGTTAATGAATATTTACACTTGTCAGACCACAAAATCAGGATTTCATGAATGAGAAACCACTTACCAGTGTTAACACTCACATTTTCTGCCATAGGAAATCGAGGTAGCCAGTGTCGATGCATTTCAGGGCAGAGAAAAGGACTACATCATCCTGTCCTGTGTTCGCTCCAACGAACACCAGGTATGACTTATTCAGAGGCCACGACTGACAACTTCGAAAAAAAATACAACGCAAGTTGTCTTAGATTCGTGTGAGTTATAAGTTAGTGGACTTCTCATCACTTTTCTTCGTGGGCGATGTGAAAAAATGAAGGCTACTTTAACCAGCTTCTTGACCTTTTGCTTTAAAGAAATAAGGTGGTAACCATTTGGAATTTTTAGGGTATGATATCAAAATGAGGATCACTTCTGTACAGGTGGCCGTCGAAAACTAAGGGCTGTAAAACTAATTTCTGTTACTTGTCGTTGGTCTGCAGGGAATTGGTTTCTTGAATGATCCGAGACGTCTGAACGTGGCTCTGACCCGAGCAAAGTATGTATTAGTATAGTTTCAAGAAAACAATCATTGTTAGAATAGTTAATTGTGCAGTTATTGACGTAATTTGTTCTTCCATTTAAGATATGGTATCATTGTTATTGGCAACCCCAAGATCTTGTCCAGGGTAAGTTGTTACCACAGATGATAACTAATTATATTTTAGCATTTTCCGTCTATTTTAGTGGGATAACTCCGTTATGTCTAAAATTTTAAATTTTAACTTTTTATAAATTTTAGATTTAAGTGAACCATGAATTTACCTAATGATACCATGTATAAACTCATTCTATAATTTGTTCCTATTATTTTAGTGCCCCCAATTGGCTTTTTAAGCTGAAGACATCGACCCTTAAATAAAGTTGTCATTATTTTTATTATTATTATCATCATTATTATTTTTATAACTGTAAATTGGCTTATTGCAGCTTGTTTCACAACACGTTGAACACGAGTGTGCTTTCCTACTCTAACGTTTGACCATCTCTTTCATTTTAATACATACATTATAGTAAAACTTGCAAGTTACTGCAACTGACTGTTTTTTTATTTTTTATTTTTTTTTATTTTCCTACCACAGCAACCCTTGTGGAACCATCTTTTGAACTACTACAAAGAAAACAAGGCTTTGATGGAGGGTGAGCTGAAAGCTTTGATTCTACTTCATTTATTGAATGCTAGACCTCCGACAGGCAGTGAGAGGCAAGGTTTCCTGTGCGCTGCTCTTCAAAGCCTTGAAAGTGCTCAGAATATAACCTCTCGTCACGTTTTCATTTCACAATCTCGTAAACCGGCAGTAGGAACAAGAAAAAGATTACCAGCTGTAGGATGAAGGGTGTTTTCCTAATGAAGTGGCACCAAATTCTCTCAACAATTTTTAAAGGAAATGTATAGGAACCCGAAGAGAGCACTTCTAACCATATCGTGAAAGTTCAACAGTAAGATATGAATGGCCTCTTTTGCCTTGCAGGACCCTTGAACAATTTGAAGGAAAGCATGATCCAGTTTAGCAAGCCAAGGAAACTTGTTAACCGTACTAATCCGGTAAGATACCTCTTATTTCTTTTGCTTATCTTTATTTTTAAAGATGAAAAACTCTTCTGTCCGTGCGGGCTGGACTTGCTTAGTATGCCTCAGCCGGTTAAGACCGCTGTCTACTATTTTTATCCGGCTACATTCACCTCATTTTTTTCTTTTTTTTTTTTCGCTGATGCAAGATTGAACAATTTTTTGAAGTACCATGAATGAATTGTTACAGCAGCTATTTCTAAGCTTTGAATGGTATCAGAAGCTTCTGATGGTATTACATGCATGATCAGTAACAGGTCAAGGTGTGTGGATCGATTCCACTTGCAGAAATTACTAGAAGGTTCTTGCAAACTTCTTATTTGCCATCTATTTTCAAAAGTATTGACCGCCCTGCATACTAACTAACCTTTCTGTGTTCCTTCTAAGGGCGGCCGTTTCATGAGCAGCACCATGTTCGACGCCCGTGAAGCGCTGATCCGCGGTAGTGTGTATGACCGTCAGATACCTCAGGCACCTATGGATCCTGCAGCCTTCCACGACACATACTTCCACACTCATGACCGGCTCAGTTACATCGGAGCCGAGCGAACCATTCCACCTGCTGCTGCTGCAAGGATCCCGGTACCCGTGGGAATGTTTATTCCTCCGGTACCTCCCCCTCATCACTCCTACTTTGGGCAGGTGAGTGCACTTGGGTAATCTGTTCTTAGGTTTCTAGGGAAATCCCTGCTTGATATCAGCTTGGCCGCGTTACGTTTTACCGCAGGGGGTCTCACCTCTGACATTGTAAAACAGAAATGAATTATGAGTATTTCTCCAGTTGTAACCTGTAAAATTCGCCAAACAATACAGTTTTCACCTGATGCGTTCAAAATATTAGGTCGGATATAGCCACCAGTGTAAATGTGAAAGTCGCATTCTGAATGTAAACTAACAACTTTTGTTGATGTTTTAGCCTCTTGCCGGTCGAATGCCTCATGGCCGACCAGTTCAGCAGCCTCGGCAGCGAAATCAGCGCAATCACCATCACCAACAACCAATGGCGTATGCTCCTCACATGCCAGCCAGCCAGGCCAGTCAGGTATGAGCTGAGATACTTTGAATGGGAATAATTGTTTCCTGGGACAGCTTGGTTCTAAATCTATGCAAAAAGAACGCGCTATTTAGGAAGATTTAAGTCACTCTGAAATCGTCGGGTCGAAAAAACCTGACTTTCATTTCCTTCAAAATGTAGGGAATTAAAAAAAGATATTTTTGCTTGTGTGGAAATAAAACTGCGAAGGTACGAGGATTAAGGCGAATGGAGGGGATGGGCACGGAGTGCGAAGGTTGAACTAGAAAACTCTAGGCTTATGAACAACTCCGCAAGTGAAGATCGACAATTACATTCTCCTTACAATTTTCAAACACTCTAATACTATTGAAAACAAAATCTTCAGGTGGAAAATAGGACTTCCACATAACACAAATCTCCCTAGTATTCGAGAACACAGAAATGTTTTGTCGCGCAATTTGAGAATTCCAGCTCTTTGGAAAGTTAGGGTCGAGTAGGTTTCTTATTGTAATGTTTTCTTCCCTATGCAACAGGATGCTTCCCAGCCTCTGTCCCAGGGCCCACTCACTCAGGGTGGCATGTCCATGAGTCAGCCCATGGCCTCGCAGCCATTGTCGCAGCCGGACCTGTCTCAAGATAGTTACCTTGGAGACGACTTCAACCTGAAATCCCAGGCTGACGCTGTGTTGTCACAGGATTCTACCTACCAAGGAGAGAGAGGAGGCTACATGAACTCCTTACCAGACTACTCCCAACCAAACTATGCCTCCCAGTACTGAAGTACTAGCCTACCGGCTGTAGAGGGGGCACGTCGTCATCTGGCAGCCGTCGTCAAGGCAACCAGCAGGTAACGCCTTGCGTAAGCCACACCCTTGATTGTCCCCACACTGAGGGTGTGGTGTTGACCAAATCCTTGAAGAAAAAGAAGAGGAGAGAGTGGAACGAGAAGAGAAGAGAAAAATTTCACCCGCATTTACAAACGGCGGGTCTCAACGTTTTTGACGCCGCGAACAGAAGAAAATGGAAGAAGATTTTTGAAACTTTGACTTTGGTTTTAGACGGTTCTTGACCTGACGAGCAAAGCTTCGCTAGTTTTATAGAAGAAAAAAGACATTGGCAGGTTTCCATGAAACGACAAGAAATAAACCAGTTTTGATGTTAGCCTCGACGTGATTGTCGACAGTTGGCCTCAAGACAGCAGGCAGCCTGGATCTTTCACTTTGCCTGCGCTCTCTGTCATATACTAGACCCCACAACCAGCGCGCTTACAATCCGCACTTCTTTTATCACTGATTTTCATAAAAGCAAGACAAACCAGTTTCCAAATGATCGATTACAAGACTGTGGTAAAGGTCAACAGATTCCCCTGTCCAATTTTTTGTTATAGATTTGTATCGGAAATCTCTAAACTCAATGTGAAACTAAACATTCAGAGCAAGATATCTGTCGCAAAGGTTGTGGAAGAAATGTGGTGTCCGCTTTTTGTTTGAAGTGAGAGGTTTTGTAAACTTAAACCTCGATTGCGAAGAAAGATAAGTTGAATGTTGCTCGGTTGATAGGCCCAACCTTTCCATTAAGACTTATTGCAAAAGCTTTTCCTTAAATGACTCTTTACTGTAGTTTTAGAGACTGAACTATGATGACGTTACAACTTCCAACTTCTTTTAGCATCTAAAATGTACGTTAAACACTCCAAGCTGCTGCAGGTTCAAGAGGACATAACTGAGGACAAAAGAGGCCTGTTTTGGATAGAATGTTGCCCTTCAATTTGCCTCTTGTCTCCAAAAGGGAACGAGTTTTTAAATCTCAGGAAACGATGGGCGCGCGTCCCTTAAGTTGTTTTTAAAGCAGGGTGTACGAAAGTGCATCTGATTTTGTGTTTTTTGTTGTTGTTTATCTTTCGTAAGCTTTTGAATCATGTTAGATTTAGCGGTGTGTCAATCGATCGTAATTTCCTCAACCCAACTCAATCAGTTTGTGGTTGCTGTCCTCCTAGGGCTAAGTATGTGATGCGTTATTATTGATATTATTATCACAAACCATATTGACAGGTGCCTTGATTTAAATTACAAATTGTACTGCAATCTCTAGTAAGTAATCAAGAGAGAGTTGTGCAATTTAGTTAGGTCGTGAAGTTAACTATAGTGTTTTTGCACTCGTGATGAAAGGAACATTTTTAGTTTCAAAGTAAAGTTGATGTGTTTATTTTTTTGTGTGAAATTCCAGAACGTGGTTCATTTGAGTATTCTCTGACTTGGATTATCCTTGAGATTAGACCCGCATTTGACGCTCCCCTAACCCCTAAGACATTGTATCGATCCGTGTTCTAATACCTTTTAGAGGCAGATACGTTATGAAGAGTTATACTCGTGTCTACATAGCTGGGAGAAAAGCACCAAAACCTTAAAGTGCCTTTGTAAGAATCGAAAGGTGACTATCATTTAGAAATTGAAACTCGTTCCTGGCTTTTCCCAATCATCAAACCCGTTGTTGTGTCTTCCCAGACCCAGAACTTTTCACTCACTGCCTCATTTTAGGCACAAAGTCTGAGAGCGAGACAAGCTGACTCATCCCCAGTCGTGCGCGGAGTGGGGGGTAGAGGGGAAAGGGAGGAGGGTAACGCCTACCAGACCTCGTGTTTTTGTTACGCCCAGTGGCTACGCGAAGTGGACTGGGGTCGAGTCAGATCAGGAACTGACAACCAAAATATCGCGCAGCTGTTTAACTAGTCAGTGAAAAGCCAAAAGAATAACAAGTTACAATTTCCAACCACGCTCATAGATCAATGTATTCCTTAAGAAACCATCTCATGTATGGTAGAAGTAAGGAGACTGGATCTTCATTTTCTGTAAAAGAAACATTGAAGGCGGGGGAAAAAAAATTCCCTACACTATTTTTCTCGCGGAAATAAAATGGGACTACTTGATTTTTGTACCTTTCTTTCTCCTTTCTCTAATTGCGAAAACTAAAAATCTTGTTAAATGAATATAGATAATTGCTTGTTAACCAGGAAATTATAACAAGATTGTATTGCCTGCTTGATTTTATTTATCCGACAATTTGTCAGTGTTCACTGTAAGAAGTGCACATAAACGGAAGGTGCCAATTAGCAGAGAAATACAAAATTAGGTTTTTACAAGTGAACCTAGGCCAGGAAAAAGGAACAAATCATTCATTGTTTTTTGTAACATTTAACAGCAGAAAAATTAAAAATTTTGGTATTGGATATGAAGGCAACATTTTGATGCCAATGGGATCGAAATTGACTTTATACCTTATTGGTTTTGGCCTATAAGGGATCTTTTAAGCTTTGTTTTGTACATTAAGAATGTTTAGATAAGATTTCCTTAGTGGTAATGAAATCTTCACTAATATCCGGGCGAAATATGATTACGTCTTTAGGTGTTTAAGTGGTTCGTGAATGGGACAATTTGGAGATATCTTTTGAAATCTGATAATATCGATTAATTTGCGTCAGATATTGTTCGTTGAAAGAAAATTTCGCAGTTGGAAAAACGTGTAATTCTTTTCACGAATCCTCTCATCCAGTTCTAACCTCGTCGTATCTGGCCTGCTGTTTTGTTGCTAATGAATTCAACAAAACAATCATCGATTTCCTTTTCGACCATTCTGCTGGCTATCATTTTCGCCGTTATAAGGTAAGTATTTTTGTACAGAATTTAGTCTGAACAATACAGTTTAGCAGAATATTAGTTAAAACGTTTTTTTTCAAACTTCTGCAGGGAATCTCATGAAGAATCAACCCCTCGACCGGCGCCAGACAAAGGCCAAAATGTTTGCGCCTTTGAAAAAACAAGACCGCAGTTAGTGTTACGGAGAAATGCAACCACTGTGAAAAAAGTTAAAATTGTCGATTGTGGAATTTTTTCTTTCCCTAAACTCCAATGTAAAGAAGAAAGGTAAGGAATTTAATGAAGGTATAGAAGCGGCTTCAATGTAGACTCACATATTTAGTTGTAATAAGTAGCCAGTGTTTATTGCTAAAAACCGTAATTTTATACTGTTCTACTTCCTTATTCTTGAGTCAAGGTCCAAATTCCTTGAGTTAACCTTGATAAATTGCCTTTTATTCTTCTCACTATACGATTTTCTCCTTAATTTTTTCTCTGGATATAATTAGAAAAAGCAAAGACGGAATCTCAATTTTGGAAAAAAAAATACGTCTGCCCCTCTTTAGGAACGTTTTAGTATGATGCCGATGAAATTGTTTTCAAATTGATCCTTGGCCAGAAAAATGTTTTTAAGCTTCCTCCGTTGAAAAGACGTATCTTCAGAGTTATTTTGCCTCCGAATGGAACAATCAATCTTACTGATCCACAGGCTGGATGTGTCTTATCATTTGTAACAATATTTTGTATTTCCGATGAACATTTCAGACCCTTATTTTTTTCAAGGACAGTCCTTTCTAGTAGGATTTGGTCTAAAAAAAAAGGTTATGAATCGAGCTCATTTTCAATTTTTAAGGAAAATTTGTTTAAATCCCATCCAGACGAGCCAACATGTCGTCTCTGAAGCAATCTCGACAGGTTTTTCTTTTCCAGTGACGTCAGATTTCTTCGCATCCAAGCCTTGCACATTCAGGCCAACTGGCTGAGAACACCGCTGACATTTGGGAACGAGTTAATTACGTTTCTCTGAGAAGTCGCCATTACTTTTCTAATCATTATTTCAGTTGCATCACACCTGACCATTTCATCAGTCTTTAATCTTTGATTTGGTCATTAGTAAAAACAGTTTTTACTTACCAAAAAAAGATATTTGTAATGGTAATAATAAATATAAAAAATCAGGCCGTAATTTGGTTATGAAAATTAAAGCAAAATGATTCTGATTCAACTTAACTACAATCATACTTTGCAAAATACCCCAACACTCTACACTAAAAATTAAATAGATGAATAAATTAATTGATAAACATATAAGTAAGCTGCATTTTCCCAACATGAATAGTACATTTTTCACCGAAATTGAATCATCCCTCCCAGAACTAATATTGCCAAGGAGTTCATGTTTCATTTATCTATTTTTCCTTTCTAGTACTGAAACCAAAATTTACTGGTACCCAGTTCGCAAAATTATTCATTTTAACATGTACGATTGTTGTCCGGGGTGGATTGGATATGAATCCAAAGTAGGATGCAAGAAACGTAAGTACCGTAGCTTTTTCCGAAAAAAAAAAAAATACGTTCGATTGTGGTCATCAAATAAATGTAACATTTTGCTTATCACTGATTCATTTGGTCATTTTATCTAGTTGCTCTCCCCTCTTTTTACTTCTTGCTAGAGAATTCTGTATGTTCTGTTCTAAATAAGTACAACAGCTTCAGATAAAAACAATGCCTAATTGCAACGAAAAAAAAAAATCAAGAAAGCAGGAACTCGTGTTCTGTTAGTCCCTTTGACGGGGGGTGGGGTGAGGACTAATAATTACTCCTTTTAATTTCTCACCCTTTGGACTCAGGAAAAAAACTGACATACCTCTTTATATAAAGAGTTTTTACTTGCACAATTTTTTTGTTTTGTTTTATTTTGCTTTCTCAGGTGTTCCTTGTGGCGTCGCCATCCCTCAGAAGGTTCCACTCCATTGCCATGAAAGCAGAGGAAAAGACATTGAAAAACACCGAGGACTTTACAAACTGGGTCACGTGAAAAACCTCCCATTCCCCATGAGTGACATTAATGCTTATCTCTTGATCAATCTTACGCTATCGGACCCTTTCACGGAAACGTGGATGAAGCTTTATGGCTACATGTTAAAGAAAAACCTGGCACTTATCCAGAACTATAGGAAAATGAACCAAAAAAATTTCACCAAGATCTCTGACTATGAACAAGTTTATCACTTCTTTCTCAAACAACAACAAAATGAAGAAATGGTATGAGAGAAATATCTAAGACTATTTTATATAACTATGCAACACTTTTAGTTACTTTCATATAAATCAAGGTTTAATCTCGCCACTATTCGTTGTAGCGATCTCTATGCATTAAGAAATTTTTTTGTGTGCTACTTTTCCTCAGGTTCGCCCGTTTTTCCGATTTCCCTCTCAAGAAGAACCCTTCAAAAGCGTTGTCAACAATGTCACGTGGCGAGAAGACCGTGTGTTTACTGAACAGCGGTTAGCCGGCCTCAATCCTATGTCACTAATGAAAGTTACCACTGGTCAAGGTAAGCACCGCTCCAATTAAGGCTCCCCAATGACAACGAATTGACAATGAAAGACGTGAATGTGACAATGCTTGTTTTATATTTGTGATATCTCTTTCAGATCCTATTGGAGTCAAATGGTTAGATCTTGAAAAACGTTTGAATTCAAACTACGACTGGAACGGCGCAGTCTCGAGAGGTCTGGGAAAAAACACCTTGATACAAGACGCTATCACCGATGGATCTCTATTTGTTGTACAGTACCCGGCCTTTGACAACCTTTCCACCGTGCCAGACATCACAGAGCCCAGGCCCACGCGGAAAATGTGGCCCGCAATGTCTCCAATAGCATTGTTTGTCTCACGTTCAGGAGGAAAAGGTAGACCTGCGCAGTTACAACCAGTGGCTATTCAGGTCGATTCTAAACCAGGTGAAGAACAAGGACAATATTTCTCTCCTCGTGGCATCACTTTCCATTCTGTTTCGTTCTGTTTTCCTGTTTTTGATGCTTTCCCAACCCAGAATATCTAATTCGGAAAAACCGATCTCATTTTTCATTCTTTGCATAGGCTCCCCAGTGTATTCTCCGGAAGATGGTGACCTGTGGGCTCTTGCCAAAGCGGGCTTTCAAGTCACAGATTTTGCTTATGTAGAGATGGTGGAACATTTACTGAAAACTCACCTCGTGATGGAGCCATTTTGTGTGTGCATTCTGAGACACCTTTCAACACTGCACCCCTTGCACCAACTACTAAAATATCACTGCAGGTAGGGACGATTTTAAAAGTTCATAGGTGGCTGGAGTCACACCCAGGCCAACTGTTATACAGCAAACAACGTCAATTACTTTGAATTGATACAGGCCTGAGTGCGACGACACGACGCAACATTTCAACACCTCAAACACATTATTGTGTAATCAGCTACTTGGTTTAGAGTAATACTGCCAAGTAAAAGGTAAAACCGAATATCGAAGCAATTTATGTGATCATCATCATCATTATTATTATCATTATTATTATTATTATTATTATTATATCATTTTTATGATTATTTCTTTGTTCCACTGTAGGGGCTTACTACCTACCAACAAAGTGGGATTTCCTAAACTAATTGACGATCAAGCATACATGCATCAGTTGTTTGCTATTGGTAATACTGGTTCTGTTACCCTATTGGTACGCGCATATCAGACCTTGACCTGGGCCGATACTAACTTCCGGGCCAAGAATAAGGTATGACGTTACTACGAACTACATAAAGACCAACCTCCTTTCCAGGGTCCTCTCATTTCCTTTCTCGAGGGAGGGAGAGAGAGGATTCTGGAACGAGGTTATATAGAGCTAGACGTCAGAAGCTTCGGTACCTCACGTCACTTGAACTTCACGTTATTATCAGATATTTTGTACAAGGAAAGAAACTGTGCTTGAAATTTTTCAAGCAGGTATTTAGACTTGTGTCTGCCTTACGGCGTTTATTTCTGTGTTGTACTTCACAGAAATTCGTTTAATTTCCTCGTACATATTTCAGGCCCGTGGCATCGACGACCGAAAAAAATTGCCGTATTTTCCGTACAGAGACGACGGAGAAGTAATTTATAAAGCTATGGAAGATCTCGTCAAGGACTACGTCAATTTGTGAGTAGAAGCCAAACAGTTTTGTTAGTAAACAAAGCCGGCAGGATGAAAATTTTGGTCAGTAAGCTGACTTTACCTTTACCTTTACCTTAGTGATGTTGCTTAGAAGAAATGAAAGGTTCATACTGTAAATAAATGGTCGCTCCACGTGACTGTCCAGTAATTGATTGCTCCACGTGACTGTCTAGTTAACGAAGAGTCTAATCTCGCACATGTCATTGTATCGTAGTTATTACTCCGCTGACAGCGATGTACTGGAGGATCACGAAGTGCAAGGTCTCGCTAACGAGATGTCACCTGAGGGGGTGGGGAAAGAAGGCGGAAAAGGAAAGGTAGAATTCTCCCTCTGTGAGATATAGATCTTAAAAGTTTGTTTTGTCTTCGTGTTACAGCTTACTTCTCTTGAGTGCGTTTCAACTTAGTAAAATCAAAAACAAATTGTTACAAAGGCTATTAAAACAAAATTGAAATATCACGAGGGGCCAATAGAAAATCAAATGAAAATGAGGCAAACTGCTTGAGGGCGAAAAAACGCGGTTATAAAGTCGCGATTGGTTTTAATTTAACCGCCTCCCGGTTGGCTCAATGAATAGAGCGCTGGACTGTTGTGCGGGAGGTCGAGGGATCGAGCCCCGGCCGGACCAACACTCAAGGTCTTAAAATAATTTAGAAGAATATGCTGCCTTTCTATAATATCAAGAAACGGTTAGATGTTCTAGTCTTCTCGGATAGGGACGAATAAATGGAGGTCCCGTCTCCTGCAGGGTTAGGGGTAGGAGACGTTAATTTCCCACGCACGAGATTACTGTCCGATGGATGTCCTCCCCTGGGTGAGATGGGTGGTTACTGGGTCCGCAGTGATTGGCGCAAGCTGTTGCGGTGTCCCTGCCTGTCGGCAAATCTTGTAAATAAATAAATAAATACATAAAATAAGTTCGCATTTGTTTGGTCGAAAGGATGACATGATTTTTGCCACACCCATCACAGCACAAAAGGAAAGAAAACTATTGCAATGCCGGATTACTTACGCCATTCACTTAAAAATTGCTCTTTAATTCTTCTTTAATTCTCCAGTTGCGCGGTTTTCCAGCCCAAATAACCACAAAAGCAATACTGGTTGACATTGTGACACGTCTCATCTGGACTTCAACCGCTCAACATACTGCTGTCAATTATCCAATCTCGGCGTACGGAGCATTCACCCCAAACATGCCCACGAAGATGTACGACGATGACCGAGTACCCGACGACAAATTCAATGCCTTACGATTGCCGAATAGCTATGTTTCAGCAGTGAGTAAAAAGTTTACAAATTGTCTTGGATTGAATTGCGCTCTTTCTAACAGATTTTTCAATCCTTTTGCTTTTGTCTTTGACAGGTTCAAGCCGGAGTTGCCATGAGCTTGGGTTCTCTTCGTATCGACCGTCTGTTCGATTATGGAGGCAGACTCCCGGAGCAAGGTGGTAGAGTAATTGTCCAAAAACACTACAACCGACTTCACTCTGTGATCAAACCCCTCCTGGACAATAGAAATACAGAAAGATTTCGGGAGGGGTACCTCACATATCCGTACCTGAGCCCAGCCTGGATACCAAACAGCATTTGCACCTAAATCATTTCCCAACAGATAATTTTTAATTCCCTTCGGTATTTGCGTGTGGAGTACAGAGGAAATTTAACATCGATATCCGAAACCATGCTCTGAAGAAGTGGCTTAGGATTTGCAAAAGGAGTTATTTTGATCAATGACGGAAGACTCCGGGCAGTGTTCATTTTGTAAAGAAATTCTTTCAGAGCGAGTAAAATTTTGAGTTGTAAGGAGCTACATGCTACTGTCTTAGTTATTTTAGCAGCCCTCTAGACCCATCAAATGATAGTTTGCCGGGGAAAACAAACACCTAAGCGCTTAGATTGAACCCAAAAGTTAATAATGAAACAGAATCCGCATAGAGACAATGAACAATTTTCAGTAGACAAACTTTTCATGTTTAAATGATAGTCGATGGACGTTCTCACTATGAATTACAAAATGCCTGAATGGTTCGGGAATTTTCTAATTTTTATGCGACATTCAAAGGGAGTCATCTCTTTAGAATCGTCTCAAACATTCATAGGGGCATTTTTCAAAGCATGGTTCTCGGTGCTCTCTCTCTCTCTGCCTCCCTATCTGTACAGTAAACTAAAAAATTCCCTCACTGACAAGATGATCAAATTAAGTTTTGTCAGAGGTTTACTGTCAAACAATTTATTCCACTTTGCTTTTTTTAGGATCAATAGAACTACACTAATATGGGAATGTTATGCAAACTCAATAAGGCATTAGCTGTATCTGAAACTATACAATGTGTGTTTTTCTCGGGGATTTCATAACTAAACAGGTTCTAAATATCTGGAAACAATCTATTAGAGAAAAAAGTGTACTTAAAATCCACTTGTACTTGTTTATGATTTCTACTTAGCGGGAAATAAAATTTAAAACCTATTTCACTGCAACACGGTTGCGTGAGTGAACAAGCTTTGAGTGCAGATAGAGCGCTGTGCAATAAATGAGTTGCTTAAATTTATGTGGACAATGTGATGACAAGAGCCAATCAGAACAGAATTGAGTATCTCAACGAGCCAAAGGGGACTCAAGTAGATGCACCTGCTTCAAGCTCAGAAAATTGGCTGTGATCACAATAAGTTTTTCATTTGATTGGGTCAGAGGTTGGCAAACGTTTTCTGGAGGAATCAAAGAGCGCGGTAAAGCACAGCTTGGTCAGGCATCTATTTGAAGATGACAGCCATGTTGATAAGGGGAATCTATCTAAGTTCTACCAGTAGTCTCTTCTGAATTTCCTCCCTGACCTCATCCTGGATGCTGTTAATTTCAACGTCAGTAAAAGTCTTATCCATTGACCTGTAAGTTATCCGGTAGCAGTGACTCTCTCTCTGAGTCTTGGGATGGCAGAATTTATCCACTAACTCCACCTGAAACAAAGCAATCAGGCTTAGGGGTCTTCATCATAAAGGTACTTACAAAGCTGGATAGCAAAAGGCACTGAGAGAATAAACTGTCTTGCCCAAGAGCATAGCAGAGGGACCCTGACATAGGCTTAAAAATCACATCTTTTCATCCAGAGTTTGGCACACTAACCACACATGGCACCACTACATTTCTGAGATTAACAGGTATGTTGACTTCCAGAAGATGACTCTACAGTTTTTAAAAATTAAATTATAAGCACAAGATGTCTATCAAGACAGCAGTGGAGAGCAAAACCCCAATCAACTATTATCAATAGAAATTGCTAGCAAATCATCTGACTGTTTTAGTATAAATCTATAAGATATGAAAAACTTATAAGGCTTCTGTTTTTATTTCATTTTGATTACAACCTACACTAGTAGGCCGGCATTTCACTTTGCTCACCATTTATCACAGTATAGATGAAGAGTACCACAGCCAATCAGATTACAGCATTTGTGATAGAAGAAATTCAATTATTGGACCCTTTCTCTCATTACCTTCCCTACATAAGGAGCCTTTTCCTCTCCAGTCCCTCACCTTTTCTACTATGTCACCAGCCACCCCACGTACCACATCAAACAGGTTGTTTGGAGAGAAGTCTTCACGAATCCAAAACGCCACATCCTTGTAAGTAGGTGGGTACTTGCTAAATGGCTTGAACTCAACAACTTTGTTTCCCTCAAACTGAGAAAGGAATCTTGGATCATCACTCCAAAACAGCCGAATATCGGGGATGTTAAAAAGCCTCATGGCCAAACGCTCAAGTCCAATACCAAATGCCCAACCTATCTTGTGTTCAGCTCCACCTGTAAATGAAATAGGGCATCTCAATTACATGGTAATTGTATAAAATCTGATAAAACATCTAACTTTCCTTCACAGTAATTTATACTTTTAAGTTAAAAGAAATATTTAACTAGATAAGTGAAGGTTAAGTCTGTCTACAAGCCAAGTGACCCATCCAGCTGAATGTTATCCTAGTCTCCTTGGTATAAAGCTACAAGAAGTATGACAGTACTTCCCCTGAATGGGATGCCAGTCCTTAACTTTGCAAGGTTCCCTTCCCCAGCATTTCATCAAATTTCCCTGACAATTGGATGGTACCTACAGCTACCCCAGCGTGGAGAGAACACTGTGGGAGTAAAGGGTTCCACCCAAGAACACAACACATTGACCACACCAGGTCTTCAACCCAAACCTCTTATCCAGGAGTTCAGCTTACAAACCACTGGTCCACATGTATACATATACATGGATATCATGTTTACTTTTCTATGGAAGCTGATTAGTGTTCAAAAAGCAGTACCGGTATTCCTTTTTAATTCATGGGAATAAAGGAGTGGATTCTACGCAATCTTCCCTACCCCTCAGACCAAAAGGCTCTGCTCATATGGGAGTTGTTTTGTGGTCATTTGATGGAGGCTGTATGAGAAACGGTTCTTTCAGAACCATCAGATCTAAAAAAGTCTACTAAAAGTGTGATCTTAAGATTTTGTTGTGCAAAAATACATGGCTATAAGATGCACCCCAATTTCAGCACTAACTTTCCAGCTGAAGACAATTTTCTTAAAAAAAAAAACCTGTGCCTTATAACCAAGAAACTATGGTAATAAACACATCCAAAAATATAAAATCAATGTAATGATAATAGAAAAAATCCGAGCCCCAGATGGGACTTGAACCCACGACCCTCCGTGATCTAGTCGGATGCTCTATTACACTAAAAATTGTTTCATCTGTAATGATAATGGTGGTGAAAATATTACAGGTAAGGAAGTTTAATTATCAATCATTAACACAAAACTAAAAATGGGTTAGGAAATATTGAATATAATATGTCAGTTTTTGTTCAATTGTCCAAGGGTTTTCCACTTGATTCTCTGGTTTTCTCCCTCCCCAAAAACCATCATTCCAAATTCCAATTCAACTTTGAAATGGTGGACAAATGAATGAATGCATCAGTGCTAATTTCCAAAAATTTTTATTAAATGGCTGTGTCTCACAAGGACTGGGACCTACCGAATTCACGAATTTGATTGGCTGAAATCAATATTGAAAGCGGTCTAGATTTTCCCATCTAGACCGGCACCTAGACCGGTCTCGAGACTACTAGCGACCTCGGTCAAGATTCTCCCATACAGACCTCCTGCTTGGTTAATAAGAACTAAATATTTATCTACTTAACTTACCATTGACCAGTATCTCCTGTGCCATCACACCACACCCAAGAAGCTCCAACCATTCACCTTCAAAATTAACTTCCAATTCCCAGGAAGGATGGGTGAAAGGAAAGAAGGCATCAACCCAACGCATTTCCACTCCCTCTCCACACAGGTGTTCAACAATCTTGACTAGTGTTTGCTTGAGACTGGACTCAACAAGCTTTACTGCCTCCAAAGAATGTGCAGCTTGTTTTTCTGGGGTCTTGGTTCTGCTTTGATCAAACATCTCCAATGGCTCCTTGCAGAGAAGTTATGAAAACATTGCACCAGTGGTGAGGCAAACATCTTTTAAGGGTGTAAGGGTGGGGAATATATTTGTTGAAGGTGAAGTGCTCATGATCCATTCAATTTTTCTGAGGGATATTCTACATTATTCACTTATTGTATGGAAAGTTATTAGTTGTTATGGTAAATTACTTGGATGATTATCAGAACACTGCATTTTGTTTCATTTCTTTGCTTCTCCAGATTGTGTGAATTTCACTCTCCTTGCAAGTTCAATATGTTAACCTATAAACAGACTTTGAGAAATGACAAGTCTATTAGCTAGGGGATGTTGTCCTGATATACGACCAGATTCTTTTAATTTGATTAAAAAGGAAATGTATGATAGTCAGTAGGGGGGGGGGGCAATTACTGATTGAATCAGATGAGAATAGAGGGGTTCAGAGCAATCATTGTGCTTTTATTATTATAATCAGCAGATAAACTAGGTAGATATTTAATCGAATGTCTTGCAATCTTTGTATAATCAAAGGGTTTATACATATCTGTAATCACCCAAATGGTTAGGGTTATGTACATAGGCCAATGTGGATGTGCTGCTGGATGGAGTTACATTTTCAAGACTGGATTGACTGTAATGTGGCTGTATCTAGAATGGATCACTCATTTTTGGGATTTTGAGGTAAGAAAATTCTGGTTAGTTGGGGTTTAAAAATGGGGATGATTTGCAATTAAAAACATATTACCATTGGGATTGCAAAAATTTCATTTGCCCCAATGTGACTGAGATAGGGTCTATAGTTGGCCACATAATATACTGTAATGAAAAGAGGGCTCTAAAAAGCGAGATGACATACCCCCCCTAAAATTAACCCGAGTATCTCCCCCCCCTCACCCCCTGGTAGTTTGGTTACGAAGAGATATTCACCTCATATTGCGAAAACAGCTCGTGCTGTGAAAATAACCTGACTCCTTCCATCTGATGAAACACTGGGTAATGACACGTGTCGATTTCATCCCGCCTGTAAACATCACCCGTAACAAGAAAAGCATCCAGTCCAGTTTTAATCAAGTCCCTTTGATGCGCAGAAGTGTGAGCGCGAAGCAAGTACTCAGAGTTTATGTAATAGTTATCATTCTTCGCTCGGCTAACGTGATCTTTTGGAACAAGCAAACTATCAAAGTTCTGTTCCACCGTGACAACGGGAGACAAATTATCCACCATTGTAAACATAGGGCCACCCCAGCGATTTCTGTAGTCGGCATAAACATGCTCCTGGACTCGTTCTCTTAAAACGCTCAGTGGATGATTTTTGCAAAGGTGCAGGTTTCGTCCGACTTTGGACAAAATGCTTGGAGTGATGTTAGTCATGGAGTCTCGGGGGTACGCGTTGTTGAACAACTGGATCTTATCTCCTTCCGTGTCCGCTTTGTTGTGAAGACATGCGGCGAATAACAGTCTTCCGCATTGTATTTTCTTAGTGAGAGGGGCTGCAAGAGTTCGTATATTCAAAATAAAGGGCATTTTGCAAATGAAAGAATCCTCGAAGGACTTGAGAGCACAAAATGCCATTCTTACATGACCAAGTATCTATTAGTAAGAGTTACTGCTGACTCAAGTACAGGCCTGAATCCGGGTAGAGAGAGGGGAGAGGGAACAATCCGGCATAATTTCTGGACTAAGGGAGAGAGGGGAGAAGGGGATTTTTTTCTTGGGTTGGGGGGTCACATAGAACGGAGAATGGTAAATGGAGGGGGATCAGTGGTCACCATTAGAGTATATAGGCGATACATGGCAAATCGACTGCCAATTAACAGCCAATCAGGAGGATTATACAATATCGTAAATACTTTTGTTCTTGGGCCATCGTAATTTGATCAAAAATAAGACACAAACAGCACAGTGCGTGGGGATCAGGAAGATTGTATAGTGAAACAATCAAAATGTTCCTACCCCGCCCCCCTCCCCTCGGGCGATGACTTTTAAGCGGTCCCTAACCCCTTTTTGCATTGTCTGTCTTTTCTACAAATTAACATGACAAAAAGAAATCATATGCCGGGAAGCTACTTCTCTTCTACGAGCTGTAGAGGGCCGTAGTAACAACTTCATGGCCCAGTTGTTCGAAGGGCGGATAACACACTCGACAGGTGTAAACATACTTATGACACGACTCGGGAAGTGTGAGGGCCAATAACTAAAATCAACCAATCAAAATGCTCTATTGCCGGGCAATATTCTCTCAGTATTGGACCGGGCACTGTCCCGAATGGTCCCGAATGATACCGCACTTGTGTCCCTTTGAACTTCAGTCCTGTAATAAATCTCTTATTAACCAAGCTTGCTCGGGACCGTACTGGAAGAATATCGGCCCTCGGTCTTTTTTGTACGGACCTCGCTTCGCTCGGTCCGTACTGTCAAGACCTCGGGCCGGTATTCTCCCAGTACGGCCCTCGCGCTTGGTTAATAAGATATATGTACTGCACTACCCAACGGATAAATATTATCCAGTGTATAGCGTTGTCCACCCTTAGAACTGTTCTTTAAAAGATATTTTGCATCATTTCCCGCAGGATGAAATGTCTATCGCTTTCTGTGACATTATTTGACATGGGCGTGTTTTTCGTGTGAATGCATTAGCATTTTAATATATTTAAGCTGAAATAGTAATCTTCAGTGGGTTTGTTTGTAAAATTATCAAAACGTAGTTAGCAGCTGGTGTCAAATCACCTACCCGGATTGGTCAATCAAAATCAACAGGAACAACGAAATGTTTCAACGACAACAGCGTCAATTTTTGAGAGAGAATCGACGGTGAATTAATATTTTCGTCTCAAAAATCTCGATGGTTCATCCACGGGCCATCGCCATGCATTTTTCACTTTTTTATTCTGTTTTATTTATCTCGTCTGAACTGATCCTCAAGGCAGCGTCTTGTCAAGGTTAGTATATGCAGTCCTGTGAAAAGGCAGACTACCACCGTGAGAAAGTTTAAAAACGCTGACATTTCGGGGATCAGCTTTTTCTCGGAGCCTCAGGGGCGCGAAACGTCAGTGTTTCGGCAAAAGTTTGCTAGTGTGGTTCATATACCTTTGATTTACTAAGTTATGGTTGACGATCAGCTAACTTTTTTCAATTGATCCCCGACGGAATCGGCATAAGTTTATTAACCTAGTTAAAAGTAACGAAACTTGTATAAAAAAAATAGCTTGTAACATTTATTTAGGCGAACCCTGTAAAGGAACTTCACAGATCCAAATTGAGACCAACATGTAATGGCCAGACCAATCTCATTTCATTTTTATTTTTCAGTGTTTATTCAATCAATGATTCATTTTTGCTGCAGTTCTTAGTCAATTAATAATTCATCTTTCAACTTTTATCGATCTAACGTATTATTTATTTAACAATAAATAACAATAAATTTCTAAAAACCAGACTGGCTCTGCTTATTTAACATTAGATAACGTTGGGAACACGTTTCTCATCAGAAATTCAATCACCTGTTTCGTAAGTTTTTTCAGCGTCCTACCAAGAAGCCAGGTATGAGCTTCCGTTGACTAGACAGGATGTAATAGTCGGTTCGCCAGTGCTAAATATTTTATCAGAATAGTTTGTATGATACTATACTTAATTTCACCTTACGCAGGATTCCACAAGGATATCTGCTCTGCTCCACGAACCACTCGACAGCAGCTCTTTATGAGAGGAGAACTTGGTTATCTGGATGTTTCAAAAATCGGTACAAACAGAGTGGACGACAGTTTTGAATGTATCTTTAAATGTCTTAGCCATCCAGCGTGTCTTTCTGTGAACCTTGCTTCATCTAAAGGATTCGATCATGATGGAAAGTTTTGGTGCGAGTTACTTCCCTCCGACAAATACAGAAACTTCACGAAATACAGTGAAAACAAAAGTTCCCATCATTTCGTTATTAAGGTAACTGATCTTGTTAAGAGGTCGTCCATGGTCTATGTTAAGTATTTAAGAGGCCTTAAAGATTTTTGTAAGGCCTGAGCCTGCGAGGGAGCGCCTCAAATTTAATTCCAAACCTCACTCTTTAGTCTATAGTGTAATAATAGTGCGCATCCTCTGTTAAGCAGAAGGATCTACTATGCGTGTGAAATTTTACTTGAAATAGACCCACTTTTACGTTGATATGTTATAATTCTTTAACTATTAAACGGTTCCTCTTCTCCTCAGACTTCCTGTTCTTCCTCGCCATGCCAAAATGAAGGGACCTGTGTACCAAATTACAACAGTGGCACCTTTGAATGCCTGTGTAAGAAAGGCTTCATTGGAGACTTCTGCGAGAAAGGTTAGACGTTACTCACATTTGCTAGGTTTGCCTAACATTTGCTCGCAATAAATTTGGCTGTCTGTCACAGGGATTTCTTTAATCCAGGAGCAGTTCGCTTTTGGTACATTAAGTACAGCATGGCCAGTCTATGTGTCGGTCAGCTACAACTGACCTCTTACCCAACCGAAAATTATCAAAGGCTTTCTTTGACGAACTCGTTTGATACAGCACTGTATATCCACTGTAAAGGGTAATTGTTAAATATTCTTACGGTGTCAGGCAAACTAAGGTTGAGGACAGTAGCAAAATTTCTATCACTGCTGCCGAAAACATCATTTGTAACGTATGATCTTTTAACTCATACTTAGGCCTTGAGTCTTGTAAAGATACGTACAGTTTCTACAAGTAAGTTGGAACTTCTTTTACACGAATGACGAGAGAGAAAACAAGGAATTCGTTTTCATCGAAGACCCTAGATTGGGATGTAGTCACTGATATAGTTAGACCCTACTTTAGATGAGGCAATCTGTTGATGAGATGATGCGTGGAGTTTTACGTCAGAAATCCTCCCCATATTTCTCAATAATCTTCATTCAATGAAATCCCCAGAGCCAGTTTCTTGGAATTCATAATGCGTAGAACTACACTTCAATTGAAGAATTATTAGATCGAATAGATTTTGGGGCAAATGCAGTTGCATGTTTTTTTCAGAATCTGTTTCGTTGCACAGGTCGAACGCCAGCGAGTTAGTTACCTTGTACTTCCGAAATTCGACAACAGCCTCCGTTCTCTGTCAAATGGGAGATTTTGGATGTGGAGATGGAGGTTGGACACCAGTTATGAAGATTGATGGCAACATGGTATATTATAACTTTAGCTGATCAGTTCTTACTAAATTCTTCACAGAATCTGCCAATGCATGGCCAGTAAAAAATCCACTTACGAAAAAAGGGGTTAGAGTCGAAACTCCGTAGAAAATATGTGATAATTAAATTAATGGCACTTGTTAAATAAACCACAACATTTTGCTAAAATTAAAGAAACTTCTTAAAACTTAAAACAAAGGAAAAACACATTTATATGAACGACTACTAAACTACAACTCCGTAAAACAAAACAACAAAAATACACGCGAGAAAAATGTGCACGTCAGTTTTCAGTATCAAGGTTAAAGTTCTTTGACGTGATTAACTAATTTGTGAAATCACGTGCACCGCGTGTGAATACAAAAGGAACACAAACGGGGGAGAGAAGAGGAAAATTGTATCTTAAAATTTAAAAACACGAGATTTTCTACTTGGCCTTATGATTTATTGACCTTGTTGTGCAGCTATGTTCGAGTGTCTCTTGAACTTGATTAGTCATACCCCTGAATTTTCAACGTAAACTTACCTAAAAATGGTTTCTGGTTGTTTACTTTTACCATAATTTATCGCCCGAGGGGTGGAGGGGTGGGTCGGAGGATTTTGGTTATGCCACAATTACCTGACCTTTCTTAGGCTCTGTAGTGTATGACATCAACAGTTAATTTTTTTATAGCCCCCCGCCTCCTTTATAACCTGTATCGACAGCTGATACCCCTTCCGATCACCCTAATACCATGTAATCCCCCAAAATTCTCCCCCTGGAGAATCCGCCCTTTGTTCCAGGCGATAGATAATAAGAGGTCGCTAAGCTTCGTGCTCCTCTTTGGAATTTTTCAGTTCTTGCGACAAATGATCCACGTAACATATGGGATCACACAGGCCCAGCATATCAGCCCAAATAATTCCACTATTTGCTCCTCTTGATTTGCTTTTTATTTGAACTCTTCACGACAACAATTTTGCAGAATACATTCCGCTACGATTCGAGATATTGGACTGACACTGATGAATACAATCCTTCTGGCGGAGGGAGTGGGTTCGATTCAGAAGAGACCAAATTACCGACCTACTGGAACACACCCTTCTCCAAGATCTGCCTTGGTATGCGGGTCAGCGAACAGTTGAAGTTCACTGTTATCAACAGGCAGGCTGACTCTCTTCACTCTCTGATTGCTGATGGCCAGTATCGGGCCACTTCACTGGGTCGGAACAAGTGGAAAGAGTTAGCTGGTTCAGGGGTATATCTGCAGCCAAATTGCAACAAAGAAGGGTTTAATGCAAACAGTCAAGGATCACATTTTAAAGCAAGAATCGGTATCCTTGGAAACAACGAAGACGACTGCCGTACTTGTGATTCTGTTATCGGCTTTGGTATAAGCTCTGGTAAAACATGCGGCGAGTCTAAGACCGCCACAGTCATGTGTTACATTTTGGTCCAGTGACAATTTACAATTTACGCCAATCAATTAGAGGGTTTAAGTGGGACTGGGGGAAGGTTGAGTTGGAGTCGTCCAGATGCACGCGGTTTCTACATACATGGCACATGTTAGTAGCTCAAAAGTGATCCTTTGTTAATTTCTTGAAAGCTTAATTCGTGGTCTAAGCTAAGAGGATTAGCTTGAAGGGATTGATATTAAACAGCGATAGAAAAAACTGAGAAACTGTGAAGAGCATGATTTAATAAGGTCCCTAATTGATGAGTTGTTTCCTATTTCATCACAACTTCC